AAACCTCACGTAATAAATGTCTCATTTAGCAACAGAAACGTTGTGCTCAGTTGTGGTCATAAGTCGAGGACTACCTATAGGAAACAAGTAAGGGCTTCATATGCACATGAGCAACATGGTACAGGTGATCCTTGACTTACGACCGCAACTGAGCCCAAAATTTATTAAGTGAGTTTTACCCCATTTTGCAACTTTTCTTGCCATAGTTGTTAAGTGAATGAACCATTGCGGTTATTAAGTTAGTGACCTGGTTGTTAAGTGAACCTGGCTTCCCAATTTTGACTTTGCTGATCATAAGATCGCAAAAGGGGTTCACATGACCCCAGGACACTGCAATCGTCATAATTATGAGTCAGTTGCCACACGTCTGAATTTTGATCACATGGCTGTGATGATGCTGCAACATTTTTCATAAGTGTGAAAACCGGTTATAGGTCAGTTTTTTCAGTGGCGGTGTAACTTTGAACAGTCACTAAATTTACTGTTGTAAGTCAAGGACTAAAAATGGTACATGTGGGCTCACTTAGTCTCCGCCTAGAAATAGTTGTCAGTATGCTATTATAGTAGTCATTATGTTCTCATTTTTTGCAGTTAGGGTTCTGTGGCAGCTTTTTTCCCCCCTCAATACCAAAAACAGACACAATATGAATCATCTCCAAAGCAGGAGAACTACATATTCAAAGATAGGTGGTATCCTGCAAGGAGAGCCTATTGGTTTATTTTCGTATCGTACTGTAGGAGACTGCATCTTGGTTTAGGTGGTTGGTAGCATCCACTTCCCCAAACTTCTTTATTGTTAACAGGTTTTGGAGACCTCCGAAGTGCCTGCTGGGGTGGTGAATATCATCTCTGGCTCCCGGGATTACTTGAGTCGAAGTTTAGCTGAGCATCATGATATCCAAGCCATGTGGTACTTCGGGTCTAAAGAGGTGAGTGTCCTTGCAGACTGTGGGACAGTATGGGCCAATTAGTCACGTCCAACTCAACATGGCCAACTTGCCATGGAACAGCTCATTGCAGCCAACTGTCACTAAATGAACAGTTGTAAATTGAGTGTCAACTCCTAAAGCTGCCATGGTGAGGAAAAGGGGGGCGGAGCACATTCCACGCATACTTTCTGCTAGTATGTAGAATCTCAGATTACTGCAGCAGGCTTGGGAAGGGTGCACCTCATTGGGGAATGTGATTTATGACACAGACTGAGGGGAGGGAAGGAACAGGGGTAAAGTTCAGCTATAATTCAAATGAAGCTCAGATCTGACTGCAAAAAGGTCTTGCCAAACGGTGCTCCTAATAACTGAGTAGTTTTATTTTGAAACTTGGCTCGAGACTCATGAATCAATTAGGAAACCTGACATCGAGGACTATGAGTACTGCACTGTGGCCTGTCCAGCTTCAAATGTAACTGAGTTCCACAGCTGATTTATTGAACAAGCCAAAGTCAGTCTTCCCAGAAAGCAAAGTAAAAACCTGGCTTGTTCAGCCAATGACTAGTTTATTTTCCCTCAGTTTCTTCCTTCAGTTCTCAGATTGGTATCCAGGGATGGTATTCACTTACTTTCCCTATCGGTTCTCAAGTGTGAGCGTGCGCACTTCCATGCATGTGCGTGGCTTGAAAACGTGCCTAAATGGGACGGCATAGAGTTGGGACGGGCCCATCCGCAATTCCCACTACTGGTTCGGGCGAACCGGTTCATACCGGCTGAATACACCTCTGTTGGTATCCCAAGAATACTAGACCTGTAAAGAACAGTATCTTTTTTATATGGTTAGGTTTTTTTCCCCCCTCACACACATTAGTCAATGTTGCCTGTGAGCTATAGATGGTTTTTTTTTCAATAGATGAGAATTTTTGAGGTTTGCCTCTATTTATAGTCTGTGTGAGTATGCTTCGGAGTTTGAACCATAGGGGATTTCCCCCGCCCCCTGCTTTTGTGGGGATTATTGGGGGATAGGTCAGTCATTTTTGTTTTTGTGGGTGCATATTTTGGTAGAATATGGGGGAATTGATATTTGTTGGGTTTTGTGAGAGGTAGCTGTGGAATATCATCCAAGGCATGTGTATCATATTTTCCCTGGTGGGAAATGAGTTTTTGTGGGGACTTGTATCTGGTTTGGCATTTGGAGACCAGATCTTCAGGGGTTTAAATGAAGAGCAAAAAGGGGCAAATTAAGGAGTGATATCTTTTAAAGCTACTTTTGTTTTGTTCAATAAGAGACTTGCATTCGAGATGACAGAAGACCAGGAATAAAGCAATGTTCTAGACCAATGGTAGTCAATCTGGTCCCTACCATCCACTGGTGGGCATTACAGCTTTCATGACAGGCGGTAGGGGTTTGCTGTAACTCTGCTTTATAAATTTTATAAAGTTAAGTTACTTCCCTACTTTATAAATCACCGTTACTATGGAACCAGTGGGCGGTTAGAAAATTTTACTACTAACAGAGATACGAAAGTGGGCAGTAGGTATAAAAAGGCTAACTACCCCTGTTCTAGACTTAGAATGCTAAGCATAATTTATAGACAGCTTCCATTTTAGATTCTTTGCCAGAATTAAGGCATGGTTTAATGCAGTGTTTCTCAACCTTGACAACTTGAAGATGTCTGGACTTCAACTCCCAGAATTCCCCAGCCAGCATTTGCTGGCTGGGGAATTCTGGGAGTTGNCTGAAGTCTTCGAACACTCTTCAAGGGCAGCCCCATGTAGAGCGCATTACAGTAAGGAAGGATTATGTGAATGGAACTTTACTATACAGTTACAGCTGGTACTTTGGGTGTTCTTCTTATCTGGCCCACCTTGCAATGCTAACATTGGGGCTGCAGGGGTCTGGCAACTCTCTTTTGGGTTAGGGAAACCTCATAAGAAAGGAAAAGAAACGTGTGTATGAAATGAAAATCAAAGCACTAGCAATAGCACTTAAGACTTCACAGTGCTTTATAGCCTTCTCTAAGTGGACTAAAGAGTCACTATATTGCCCCCAACAATCTGAGTCCTCATTTTACCAACCTCGGAAGGATGGAAGACTGAGTCATCCTTAAGCCGGTCAAGATCGAACTGCTGGCAGTCAGCAGAATTAGCCTGCAATACTGTATTCTAATAAGGGTGGCTAAGATGCTGAGCTTGTCAATTGAAAAATCAGCAGTTTGGTGGTTCAAATCCCTAGCGCTGCATAATGGAGTGAGCTCCTGTTACTTGTCCCAGTTCCTGCCAACCTAGCAGTTCGAAAGCAGGTAAAAATGCAAGTAGAAAAATAGGAACCACCTTTGGTGGGAAGGTAACAGTGTTCCGTGCGGCTTTGCCATTTAATCGTGCCGGCCACATGCGACGTCTTTGGTTAGGTTAGGTTAGGTTAGGTTAAGTTTATTTATAGGCCGCCCTTTTCCCTGAGGGGACTCAGGGCGGCTTACAACTTATATAGGAAGAGGAAACATACAAAGACATATAGGACAATACATAATTAAAAGAGTAAAGCAACATTCATTCAACATTCGGGCGGGGATGGAAAGTGCTGGCTCTTCGGCTTTGAAACTGAGATGAGCACCGCCTCCTAGAGTCGGGAACGACTAGCACATACGTGCGAGAGGAACCTTTACCTTCACCTTTACTGTATTCTAACCACCGTGCCGCCAAGGCGCTTCCATCTAGATATTTCAGCAGATTGATTTAAAAAGGAAATGGAGGCTGGCAATCAGAAGGGATTTTGTTAATGGGAGAAATTTTATTCTTTTTATAAACCTTCATAAACCTAGAAATTTTTGCTTGTGCCTTTTTCTGCTGCAGGAAACCACTCTGTATGGTGCCTGTATTCACTTTCGAGAACCACTTGGTGTCGTGGGAATTGCCTGTCCAGATGAGCACCCGCTCCTCAGTTTTGTCAGCTTGTTTGCCCCAGCAATTACTCGTGGCAACTGCGTTGTGATTATTCCCAGTGAGCGATATCCTTTGCCCGCCTTGGATTTTATTCAGGTATTTGCTGAATATTTCTTTCTGACCTAATTTTCAGATCACTAAAAAATAAGACAGAAATGAACGAACATGTGAATGACATGTACCTGTCCCTATGTGTGAACATCAACTACTCCAGGGAGTGTATCACCTAGTTCTCTTTTAAGTATTTTCCCCCGCCCTTACTCATGGAATATTTATTTATTTAGCAAAAAAAAAAAAAAACCTATATTTTTGGCCACTTGGCAAGACTCTGGGGAATTGACTCTATCAGAACCTCATAAAAATGTAATAATTAAAGTCATAAAAATGTGATTCGGGCAAGTTTTATTCAAGTTTAAAGATTCCAAAATAATCTTATTTCGGAAGAAACAGCAAAAGGCTGATCAGAAGTTTGATTTGGGAAATTTACAAGCAGGCTAAGGGGCTCGATGGATTTTAAATAAGATTTTGAAATTAATTACAAGAATCCTTCCTGTGGATTATAAATATATTTATTTTTGAAAATGTATTCCATGAGAAATGTTTCCATGAGAAAACGCTGTCAAGGGGGGGCGGGGGGAAGGAATCATAAGATGGGATTTTGAAGGTTGGACATTAGAGGGAATCGGAAAGAACTGAAGATTGTAATTAAAGCAAAAGAGAGTCACTAATACGGAATGGAGCAAAATATTCTTACCTTTTGAAGAATTCAAGGATTTTTGGGAACAATGCAGCCAAAAATTATTCTTAACATTGTCTGCTGTAATAAAGCTGGGTTCAGAAGAGGTTATAGAAAACTGGTTTTATTGGACAAAACAGAGGGGGATAAAAGTCAGGCCAATAAATTGCGGTTATTATTATCCTTATGGTGGTTATTACTTTAACTTGCTTTAGGAATGTCTACATTCCCCTTCCCCATTTGAGAAACAGGCTGAATGTCTTCTGTGGTACCCCAAGAATGCGAAATTCCTCACTTGGGAAGAGTCTAAATCTCTCTTTGGGAAGTTGCATAAGAAGACAATTGTACAAATGCCTGTATCCTATCATAGTGTTAGTAGTTACATAAATATATTTGTAATTCATTTTACAATTAATAAAGGCAAGGTATTAAGATGATTTAATAAAATGAAAGGAATTAAGATGGTAGAAGTAAGGAATCAGGTATCACAGCTGTTAGAGCAGTGTTTCTCAACCTTGGCAACTTTAAAAAGTAAATCCACTACTCTTAAGGTTGAGAAACACTGTATTAGAGTCACACATGATTTCTTCACAATATATAGATTTATCCTCCATTCCTTTAAGGTAGGGTTCTCAAATTATGTTCCTACTTTCTGTCATTTTAGCCTATATTTTTTCACATTTTCAATAACACTCTGAGGCCTAAATGTATCTAAAACCAAGGGTTCTTGAAGAACTCGTATAAAATTGCTGACCTCTTAGCAAAAATAGGTGATTTGTCTCTATAATCAGGCTGAGTGCCAGAACTCTCCAAAGGTAAATTCAGCCAAACCAAATTTTGGGAATTTTTTTATCGACAAACAGAACAAAGGCAAAATGGTATACATGGATTCTCAAATGTGCTTGACAATTTTTTTTTCATAGATAACTCTTGAGTAAACATAATGCCTGTGGGGTGAGATAAACTCTTTCTTTATGACCTATCAACTACTTAAAGAACAGAAGGCAAAGAATGGAAATAAATAGGCATTTTTATCAGAGGAGGAAAGATATGGAGGCCCCAGCTTTCTATGCTGGGAATCATTGTTTTTTTTAAAAAAAATTCTTGATAAGGGCTCTTGATTTACATACAATTTTATATACCTTTATTTATAAAATCTTAGTTGTCGATAGCTAAGTAAGAAAAATATTTTGAGGCCATAACAGGTAGCACAGTGGAGATTTAACTATAACCTATTAATTCCAAGGATGATGTCTGCTCAGAGTTCAATAGTTGTGAAAATGATAAATTCTATATGAGAAATCATTAACAAAGGGGCTGCTAATAAATTACGTTGCAATGCCCCGATGCAGATTTGTGGTATATCTGTTCTGGTCTCCAAACTTGGAGCTGAAAAAGCTGAAAAAGTTGAGAAGAGAGCAACCAAAATACATTAACACCCTTCCCTGCAAGAAATGACTATGTTTTTTGGAATTTTTGCTTGGATAAAAGGCAACTTAAAGAGAGGGAACCTTATTGAAATGTACAAACTCACACACGTAGAGAGTGAAGGGGGGCAGTCTTGCTCCTTGCTTTCTGAAGATACTAGGATTAGAGGTCATCTAATTAAGTTGATTGGAAGGAAGTTTGGACGCCAGACCAAATGTGGCCCAGAGGCTTTTTTGAAGGCTGCAGTGGGTGGGGCGTACCAAACTTCCAGTTGGTATGGTAAGGGTAAAAACTCTCGCCCCATGCAAGGGATCGCACGCGCATGCACAGGAAATAGAAATATGCGGAAATAGAAAAAGGTTACCCATTACTGTTATCTATTCTTCTATTTCAAATATTTTTCCAATCATTATCATTTATTTCTCCCAAATCTTTTGCCTGCTCTTCTAATTCAGTTAATATTCTGTATATTTTCCCTATTCTTTCTTCGTTCATGTCACATTCTTTTGTAATCATTTCAAACTGTCTATCTTTCTCCTTGAATCTTTCTTCCACTTTTACCCATTCCTCTAATTGTATTAAATTCAACCAGTTTAATTTAATAACTGCTAAAATGTTTTTTTCGTTGTGTTATATTCTTTATCTTTTTTCTTCCAATTTTCCCATTTATATATTTCATTTTCTTTTAGTTTACTAATCCATTCTTTCAGTTCAATCTTAGGGAATTTCTCCATTTCCACTACTGGTGTTAAAGGAGAGATTGCTAGCATTAGCCATTATCTCCATTTATTCCATAATTTCATCAAGTTTTTTAAAAAGAGATTTTGAATCCTCCTAGCAATTTTTTAAATATTCTTTTTAAACCAATATGTTTCTATAGGATCGCCTATTTCCTTTTACTCTTTCAACTCTATATCCCTCCATATTAAATCTCTAGTTACTACTATAATATCTGGGACCACCTTTAATTGATTAGCTACCCAATAATTTCTAATATTTGGAAAACCTAGCCCACCCTTTTTTAATGGTTCATACCATAATGATTTACTTATTCTTGCTCTCTTACCTCCATTACAATACACCTTCAGCAGCCTTTGTATTTGCTTTAATTCTTGATCTGAGAATTTAATTGGGATCATCCAAAGCAAAAAAAAATATTTTTGGGTAAAACTTTCATTTTTATCATTGCAATTCTTCCAAACCATGATGAGTTCCTTGTCATTATTCATGCTAGTTAGGAATGATGGGAGCTCCAGTCCCATCAGAAGAAGGCGATACTCAATTCCTTACTGCAAAGTTCTCCAAACTTAGCTACCCAATAATTTCTAATATTTGGAAGACCTAGCCCACCCTTTTTTAATGGTCCATACCATAATGCTTTACTTATTCTTGCTCTTTTGATTCCCATGTTGGCTGGAGCATTGTGGGAGTTGAAGTCCACAAGCCTTAAAGTTGCCAAGTTTGGAGTTCCCTGCTTTATTGGAAAGTGTTGTCATTGAAAAACAGGACTAAATGGCTCTCTTAAAAAGAATAAAGCAACTCTAAATTAAAATAATATTTAAATATGTACATTAAAATAGAAAGGAGAATGAAGTAAATTATAAAGATCTCTCTCGACTTTTCACCAAGAAAAAACTGGGTGAAATTATAATCTTCAATACACATATAAACTATTTAGATCCTTAAAATCAGCATGCCTCAGCTTCCATTCCTCCTAGATTTTGGCTATAGCATGGACATAACAGATTGACTTAGGTAGTAGTCATTTTCTGAAAAGACAAATAAACATATGTGGCCTACTTTAGGAACCCAGGCTGTATGATTCATTTTGTTTTGCTGGTCAAAGTATTAAGCAGATTGTTGGCTGCCTTTGGATCTGTACTTCCCAAAAATTGGTCTTCTGTAGAATTGCAAAATAATGACCGCAGCCAAGGAGTTTCATGACCTAGTTGACTCAATAGAGTTTTTTGGATTAACGTTGATTGGTCAAAAGAATGTGAGAGGTATTCCTTTTAACTGGATAATTCTTAGGGACTCTGGGAATGGTTGCAATAAAAGAAAAGGACTGGAATCCTAAGCAAAGAGGTGGCATGCGGAAATAGTGAAATTATAATCTGGCATAGTTGGCAGACACCAATTGAGGGAATCATTACATATGCAGAAATCTCTAATGGTGGACTTGATTATTATTTTTTTTCTGTAAATCCAGTTGGGCTCCATGTTCAAATTTCTCAAAACATCCAAATGGTTCTTTTTAAACATGGCAGACTTCCTTATTTTATTATTTGCTTCCCCATCTCCTCATATGTTGTCTTCTTGCCATTTGGAGGATTTGGTGCGTCTTTTCATTTCATAAGAGATCATCATGACTCTCTGGATTATCACCGGTGGGAAAAATATTAAAGGTTTCCAAATGCAAATAGTAAATCTAAGCTTGTCGTAATGGCAAGATGTGCTACATCTACTGGGAAAATGAACGGAGATCTAAAGATGGGACAGAGAAGGTAGACAATAAAGAACGCAATGTCACTTTACAAGCCCTTACTCCCAATCCAAGGTTAGCAAAACCGTAGCATTGTTTTGTGCAGTTGTTGTGTATACTGTTAAGCAGAGTCACCTTCTTTTGTTGGAACAGCATTGATGGACAAATGCTGGCTTCTTAGATTCTTTCTGTGGGATGAAAATGCTGTCGTTCAAATAGGACACAGGATCCTTTGGGATTAAAATTCATAATCCTTATAACAGGTATTATCTTGTCTAGCCATCCATACCTGCTCAAAATGAGATGCTTTGAATCAAATATGTCTGACATTTGAGAAGACAAGCGTTCGATTGCAATATTGAGGGTGGGCAACTGTCAGGAATAAAGAAGCTTTTTTTCCTTTTACTGAAAGGACCCACCAACTTGAACCAAGTGCAGAATTCTGGTTAA